GTAAAAAACAAACAAAAAACATGTCTACCCGTACCCACTATTCGTTTTATATGCAGATATTGTTCAACAGATCTGGGTTCATAGAAAGTCACAGACCTCCATGACATTAGAATTTCTCTCCTGTAGGCCGAGCCGAGAGCGGTTATTTCTCGATAGCATTTTGGTATAGCTTCTGCATGATTGCAAGAACTGGAAACAATATTTGTGCCTACGCAAATGAGATCCTTTTTTTATTTAATTTCATGGAGAAATTCTAACCAATCGGATTTGTTGAAGTTTTTGGCCAATCAGAGCGACGGATTCCGTTTTGCCCTTAACCGTTATTCGAAGTACTCATTCAGAATGTCAGTTGTCGTTTTCAGCTAAAATACAACATTTTAGTAGTAGTAGTCATAGTATCAGTTGTAGTAGTAGTAGTAGTAATAATAATAATAATAATAATAATAATAATAATAATAATAAACAAACGCTGGCAAGACAAACCTCTGCATGGCCAATATCCAGAACGTTCTAATAAAGTCGATAATGATAAAGTTAAGACTCATCGATGCTTACGAACATCTGGACGAAAAGCCTAAATTGAAGTCTTTATTCTTGCAGCACAAGAGCGGAGTCTTTTTATTAGAAACTTTCAGGCAAATATCATACATAATAGTGTGGATCCAGAATGCAGGTTCTGTGACAAATATCAGGAAACCATAGACCATCTAATCACAGGATATGTTGTACTTGCGCCAAATGAATATAAAAACCTTCGCGATAGAATGGGATAATACTTAAACTTTGGAAAAGATGTTAATAAACATTTGTTTGGATATCACCCAGCACCGGTCACAGAAATAGAAGACATCACAATTCTATGGGATTATAAATAGAAGGATTGAAGCAAATAGACCGGGCATAAATATCAAAAAACGTAACGAAAATAACAAGCCTACTAACTGATATTGCTTGCCCAGCGGAGTGCAACCAAGGAATTTGAAAATCTATCGAAGTATAAAGACCTGGAAACAAGAATAGTATCAGTCGTAGTAGGTGCGCTTGGAATGATAAAAAAAGGAACACAACAATATAGTGAAAAAAAATCCTTGGAAATCCTAACCTAAGAGAAATACAAACATTGTGTTGATAAATACAGTTCACACACGATGAAGAAATTTATCCATGTAACGCTAGTGATATTATGAGAGTTAGAAAAAAAAATGAAATGTAGCCACAGCAACACACTACCTGCTTAGGTCTTCCCGTAGATTTGATGGGTAGTGTGACCATAGCAGAAATCGAAATATAATAATAATAACAACAACAATAATACTAGCAAAAAATGAATACCATAATTATATATAAAACATATAAATATGAATATCATAATTATGTATAAAACGCATTTTTTTCTAAAAAATAATAAACAAAATTAAGGCGCGTATTATGCACAGATACAAAAAAAATCTTTAAAAAATTGCCGTTTAATAGGTCGATATCAGATGCGAAATGACTACTCACCACAAACACACGACAATTTGACAATAACATTCGGTGATTGCGACTGTCAAATACAATCATATGTAGCTAACAATACTTACAAAAGTAAAATAAAATAAGAATTATCATAAAACTAAATTAGAATAATATTATTCTATGTTTAAAAGCATTTTAATAAGAGTAGGATAGGCTAGCCGTAATTAAATTGGAGAGGTACAATTTATAGAGTTCGATTAGCAAATAAGTGGTACGTATTATGCGTGAAAAGAAGCTTTTTCCCACAATTTCAGCACAATTTTTAGGTGCGAATTATGGATGAAAACGTATTATACATCGGGATTTACTGTATACCCACAGACATAACAAGGTAGCGACATATGTGCACTGGAAGATATGCAAGAAGCATAAAATCAAAACCACTGAGAGATGGTATGAGCATCAATTAGTCACAGTTACCCAAAATAACGATGTAACTATCCTCTGGGACATGCCAATTCAAACTGACAGGGGGAAAAAGCCGACACACCTGATATTATTATAAAAGACAATAAATTCAGGAAGTGTATGCTTATTGACATAGCAGTAGCATCTGAGAGAAACAGCTCCATGTAAATTATTGAGGAATTGTCCAAATACAAGGACCTGGAGATCGTGATTAACAGGGTGTGGGGAATGAAGGCTGAGACTGTACCAATAGTAAGCGGAGCTCTGGACCTCGTAAGAAAAGGAAGGACAATTTTACTAACAATGTCCCAGATAGCATCAACATAAATGTTGCCCAGAAGATCGATCTACTAGGAACACCCTATATACTAAGAAAATGCTATTAATTAAATGACAATTCTCCTATAAGGCCTAATAGCCATGGTTTGGAGCCGGCTTGACAGAATACAAAGCAGGAAACGTAACATACACAAATGTTGATAATAATATTATTATTATTATTATTATTATTATTAATAATAATAATAATAATAAAACATATATTTGCTTTAAATTTCTTTTTTCTTTCTTCTTT